TTTTTTTTTTTTTTTTTTTTTTTTTTTTTTTTTTTTGTTGATTAGGACCAGGAATGGGAAGTGCAGTTTGGGTTACCTTCCTGGTTTCCCTCCCAGTTAGCATTGCCACGACAACGGCAGTGCCACGTCAGCAGTGCCACATTAGTAGCAGTGCCACGACAGCAGCAGTACCAACGTCAGCAGTGCCCCGCCACCATGACGGGTTCAGCTTTGGGCATGCCAGGCCAACTGGCCAACGAGTCCATTGCCGAGTACCGACAATGGTTCCAAGCTCAGCTCACACTGATCGAGGCTGAGGAACAGCGCCAGGCGGCAGCCGAGGCTGCCCGCCTACAGGCTGAGTGGAGGCAGCAGCTTCAGGCCGCAAATGATGCACATGCCCAAGCCCGCCTCAAGGAGGCCCAGGATCTGCTGCAGCGGCACGAAGCCACCGGCGTCGACAGGCTCAAGTTCTGGCATTTTGAACCTTCAGAGGGCAGCGATGATGCGACACCGCAAGAGCAGCACAAGGAGTTTCTCTCCAAACTGGTGGCCCGGTTGTAACCACCTGCAGTCCGAGTTGGTGAATCTTCGACGGGCAGTGCGGAACCACAAGGGTCTGCACGAGGATGCTACACGGGCACTTGATTCCCGTGTACACGACTTGGAGCAAGCAGCACCAGGACCAGAAGCTGGCGAACCCAGCAGTGCAGCCTCAACCCGCCAATTGGAGCAACGAGTTGACCATGTAGTCGCAATGCTCGGAGACATCAGCACCTTCCCCGCACCAGCTACCATCAGCGAGCAGCTGGACACCTTGAAGATCGAGGTTCGACAACTGCACCAGCTGCCCGACAAGGATGGCAACACCAGTGCGCAGCAGTACAAGATGCCGACATTCCGGATCGAAAAGTTTGATGATTATACGCATCAAGACCCGGTCACCTGGTGGCAGGGCTTTACGACGAAACTTTGGATTCATCACGTCCCCGAGCACTCGTACATTGGGGCGTTCGTTGTTCCTCAACTCAAAGGGCGGATGCCAAATCTGGCCCAGCCACCTGGCAACCATCCACGCGTGCAGGTCGCCGATCTACACAAGAAGATCTCTTGGGAAGATCTGACGAGACAATGGAAGAAACGGTTCATCGTTGACGACGCCCCGGCGCTCGCCATCAACCGCCTCTTCGCCATGACTCAAGGCAACATACCGACACGAGACTACCTCACGGAATGGCAAAAGATTGTGGCAACACCCCATCTTGACTTACCATTTTCGCATTTGCGCCGGGAGTTCTACAACCGGCCGTGTGCCGCCTTGAGCCTCGCACTCGGTGATCGAGAACAGTACATGACCTTCGCCGAAATCATCAACAAGGCGCGTGAGATCATCAAGATCAACCGGACTGCTGCACACGAGAAGTCAGCGTGGCAGCCAGCCCATGTGGAGAAAGGAAGATTCGGTCCGCGTCCGGAGCCCGCCGCCGCAGTCCAACCGGACAACATTGTGGAAGACCCGGCAGCCACCCCAACATCACATGAGGGAGATCAGGTGGCCGCTCTCCAGCCGTGAAGCAACAACAACTCCCATGGAAAAGGGAAGGCGAAAACCGCATCGCCAGCCGGAATTGGACAGCCAGTACCATGGGTCAACTTCAACTTGACCGAGGCCGAATACAAGTACCGTAGCCGATACGACTGCTGCTATTGGTGCAACAACACCAAGCACAAGACCTCCCACTGCCAAAATCAAGGCAAGGAGGATGTTCACCCTCGAATCAGCTCAGGAAACTGAGTTGCGCGGGAGGTGAGGCGACTCCACCTCTCACTCCGCCAGATTCGGTCGCCTTGCTAGCAGCCTCCTACACATCTGGGGAGAATGCGGATGTCGTGAGTCCTCGATTCACTTACGAGGATTACGCTGTCCACTTGGTCCCACCGTTAGACCAGCCACTCCACGTGCAACAATCCACCGCATGCACGGTTTCACCACCATCGAGAACAGATTCGGTAGCTTCGCCGCCAACTATCGTCAGGGATTCGACGTCATGGTCAAAACTTGAAGAACTCGACCCGTTGACATTCGTGGACTTCCAATGGATGCCCCTTCCCCCGACCGGTCGATTGCCGAAACTGCATTGCAACGTGCTCATGGCACAATTGCGGGATTACTTGCACACTGCAGTACCAGCTCCGTTGATGGACGCCGGAGTAGGGGTTGTTGACCTCCGCGAGTACCTTGCGAAGATCAACCACAAGTTCCAGATACAACAGTACGACAACAACAACGCACCATTGTTGTATATACACATTCAGATCAGAGAGGCGACCTGCAGCGCTTTGATCGATTGCGGAGCTACTCGCAACTATATGAGCCAAGACTTTATGGTACGCACTGGCCTAGGGCCACACATTCGGAGGAAGTCGCAGCCCACGCAAGTCACGTTGGCCGACGGTCAAATGCACATGTCAATCAACCAGTCCATTGATTCCATCCCCGTGTACTTCGACATTTTGGACACCCAGTTCGACATGATTTTAGGCATGCCATGATTGCAAAGCGAGGATCACCCGGTGAACTTCTACCGCCGCACCGTTCACGTTCATGATCAGAACAGAGTACTAGTCCCATGCATGGTGCCTCCACCTCACTTTTCGATCAGCTGTCACGTGGTGCCCGCCGCAAGCATTCGAGCTTTCATCACCAAGGACGACATCGAGGAGATAGGTGTGTGTTTTCTCCACACCCTCCCTCCCCATGACATCCCATCGACGAACGCATCGACGGATCCACGTATCACTGAGCTTCTCGACACCTACGGCGACATGTTCGAAGCCCCCCACGGAGTAGTACCGGATCGGCCCATCCGCCACGAGATCATCCTCGAGGCCGGGGCCATACCTTCACGTGGTTGCATCTACCGCATGAGCGAGGAAGAGTTAAGTGTGCTAAGGGCACAACTCGACGACCTTCTTGAGAAAGGCTGGATTCGACCTAGCTCTTCGCCATACGGCGCTCCCGTTCTCTTCCTCCGGAAAAAGAACAAGGACTGGCGGTTGTGCATTGATTATCGTAAGCTCAACGCGCAAACCGTCAAGAACGTCGGCCCTCTTCCGCGCATCGACGGCCTTCTCGAACGGCTGGGCGGCGCTAAATTTTTCCCCAAGTTTGACCTCAAATCAGGATATCACCAACTCGAGATCCGGCAGGAAGACTGCTACAGGACCGCGTTCAAGACGCGGTATGGGCATTTCGAATGGCAGGTTATGTCGTTTGGCCGTACGAATGCCCCGGCCACATTCCAAGCGGCTATGACGATGGAGTTCCGACACATGCTGGACAGATTCGTACTCGTCAGAGGTGGCAACTGGGTAATCGTTGCCCATACCCAACCGTGCCCAACTGTAACCGGCAGGTTATGGGCACGTACGGGTACCCTTCTGGAGGGGGGCATCTGTATGGGCACGCATAAATTTTATTTGTTGATTTCAGGGTAGGCACGGTTGCACTGCGTGGAGATCACGGGCAGGCATGGGCATGTATACCCTTCTAGAGGGGGGCATCTGTATGGGCAGGCATAAATTTTATTTGTTGATTTCAGGGCAGGCACGGTTGCACTGTGTGGAGATCGCGGGCAGGCATGGGCAGGTAGTGGCGGTGAAAAGGCAAAAACCACAGGTATGGGCGGCTACGAAAAAAAAAAAGCATGGGTACGGCCGTTATAGGGAGGTGAAGAAAAGAATCCAGTTGATGTAGCTCAGTGGTTAGAGCACCGTTTGGAAATGCGCATTGTGGTATGAGGTTGTGGGTTCAAATCCGCAGCCTTGCGCATGGACACCGGCAGGGCGTTAGAATGATGCACGGCTGGACACACACCCCTTGGGATGACGCAGGTTAGTTATTACAGACACTGCCTACGCACCACCCAAGGGTTGTTCATGGTGTTGTATGTTGTTTCTGGGTTTCACATGGGTTGCTTGGGGGTGTTGGTCTCGGGTGTTCTGTTGATCTCCCCAGTCTGGCATATCACACGTCCGTGCCATTTCCGCTAGTCGTTCACATGGTAGAGTCATTTGATTACACGTTACAAGGTCACCCGTTCGAGCTTGGTTCGGACCTTGGGGGGGTCCTTGTCCAGCTTACCCCGTTCTCTCTTCGATATACACACATGATGCTGCCTATACATCTGTATACATTGATTCACAGAGCACACACGGCCTTCGGGCATATATACACAGCTTGCGAATTATACATGGCCTACGGGCTACATACACAAGTTTCCACATATGGTGTTGTCTGCGCATCTTGATACACAGATACACAAAGCATACAGTCTTCGGATACACACATAGATTACACACTACGCAACTATCAGACTGGGGGGGTCTAGTCATTGGTGGGGTCTAGTATCTGCAGTAGGGACAGGTATGGGCCACCGGAGTTCCTACTGATATTCAAATAGAACTGTCTAGTGACTATATATAAGGCTTAGACCCTGGGGTAAGGGTAGGGGTATAAGTCGCTCAGGCCAGTCCGAGTTCCGCCTGGCCTTGGGTAAGCTAGAGCAAGGACGGTAAGACTGTTTCAATGGGTGCTACCCTGTCTGAAACCTAGGGCCCAGAGTCTCTTGGGGCCTGTAGTAGATTGTTTGGGCCTGGCGTCCGAAGTTCCCGTTCGACAAGGCTCGTCCGATTCCGCTTCCACCAGGGCTGGGCAACCTATCAGCCCTGGTGCCTATCACTGCTGTTCGGTCCAAGTTACCTACCCATTGGTAGGGTAATGGTCCTGAGTGCTGGTCACACTGAGGTAGGATAGTGGGATAGGGGGTATGCTAGGAGTATTGACATGAGGATGGGATGGGAGGTGGTCTCATATTCCAGAACACCCACGGCCTACTGCTCCAGGTGATCACTGTGTACTCAGTGACTGGCCTCTACAACACCATGGACTTT